TTTCAAGATCTATCTTGTAGTCATGCCTGATTGCCTGTAGTTAAATAGCTATGTCTTCATGGAAATTTAGAGGCTCTTGAAAACCAAACCTCAATTCCCACATTAGCCCTCACTAATGACTTCAATCTGTTCTTGAAATATTTGTTTCTATCGTTCTCTACTCCGTTCTTTTCTCCTTTACTTCATCATTTCCCAGCTTTCCCTCTTTCTCCACCCTCTTTCAGCAGCCACCTTTCTAATATATTGTCATCTCTCCTCTATCTGTCTTGCTAGTGGTATCCCTCCATCTGGGGGGAAAGGAAATGAAAATGATCTGGCCCTCTGACACTCTCTCTCCCTAGGAAATGAGGGGCTCTGGTCTGCCACTCCTATTGTTCAGCATGTGGCCCTAGAAGGGGTGGAATATTATTATTGGGATTATTTCCATCGTGCGCATGCAGGCAGACATGGGCATCAGTCAGAGCCCACACGGCAGACATGGGCATCAGTCACAGCCCACACGGCAGACATGGGCATCAGTCACAGCCCACACGGCAGGCATGCCACAGGGATTTACAACACAATAGCAGAACACTGGGGTGTCTCTACAGGCAGGTTATCACCCCGGGCCAAAATGGCTTCTCTCTCTCCTCTACTCTCCATCTGAGTGTGAGAGATGGGATGTAGAGTAGCTGGCTTTGGGATTGTGGAGAAATGTATCGTGGGTGGAAAGTCTAAATAGAGTTGGTGGGTTTTAGTATAGGACGTACTTATTGGAAAAGTGTAAGCAGATGTCAAATGTATTATTTAGGAATCCATCAAGTTGTTTATTCCTATTATGAAACATGGTGTTAAGAAGAAAATGGTCACTTACATTAATGATCAAATACACTGTTGAAGACGATTAGAGTATTAAGGAATTATCATATTAACACATGAATGTTGAAGAGATTAAGAGGAAAAGGTAAAACTCTTTAAGAACAGAGATCAGTTTCCCCTCTCTCGCTCAGTCACTGTCTATCTGTTCATCCCATTATATCGGATTTAGTCTGACAGGGTTTTTAGGAGGCCATGGGTACACTCTCCACTGCTTTACCCAGTGAGCAGTTAGTGCAGCTTTGGGGGACTCTATCACATTACTGGATTAGATTATACAGTTGGAGGTCTCTCTGCCTCCCTTCAAATCACCTGTCCTCCAGGACAGAGCAAAATACTGGCACAGCCATGAGGAAGCTGCTGTATAATCACATTCCAGTCTAACCTCACAGTGGAGAGACACTTGACAGGTCAATGACTTAGATACTGAGTGACATGCTGACTGGCCAATCTGATGGGGGGGGGGGGGGGGGTCTTTAACAAGGTGAGGGAGGCCTTCACAGATCTCCATTGTAAAGTGTTTAAACACTGTTTCCCATGCTTGTTCAATGAACCATAAACAATTAATGAACATGCACCTGTGGAACGGTCGTTAAGACACTAACAGCTTACAGACGGTAGGCAATTAAGGTCACAGTTATGAAAACTTAGGACACTAAAGAGGCCTATCTACTGACTCTGAAAAACACCAAAATAAATATGCCCAGGGTCCCTGCTCATCTGCGTGAACGTGCCTTAGGCATGCTGCAAGGAGGCATGAGGACTGCAGATGTGGCCAGGGCAATAAATTGCAAAGTCCATACTGTGAGACGCCTAAGAGAGCGCTACAGGGAGATAGGACGGACAGCTGATCGTCCTCACAGAGGCAGACCACGTGTAACAACACCTGCACAGGATCGGTACATCCGAACATCACACCTGCGGGACAGGTACAGGATGGCAACAACAACTGCCCGAGTTACACCAGGAACGCACAATCCCTCCATCAGTGCTCAGACTGTCCGCAATAGGCTGAGAGAGGCTGGACTGAGGGCTTGTAGGCCTGTTGTAAGGCAGGTCCTCACCAGACATCACTGGCAACAACGTTGCCTATGGGCACAAACCCACCATCGCTGGACCAGACAGGACCGGCAAAAAGTGCTCTTCACTGACGAGTCGCAGTTTTGTCTCACCAGGGGTGATGGTCAGATTTGCGTTTATTGTCGAAGGAATTAACATTACACCGAGGCCTGTACTCTGGAGCGGGATCGATTTGGAGGTGGAGGGTCCGTCATGGTCTGGGGCGGTGTGTCACAGCATCATCGGACTGAGCTTGTTGTCATTACAGGCAATCCCAACGCTGTGCGTTATAGGGAAGACATCCTCCTTCCTCATGTGGTACCGTTCCTATGGCCAGCGAAGAACCCGGATCTCAATCCCATTGAGCACGTCTGGGACCTGTTGGATCGGAGGGTGAGGGCTAGGGCCATTCCCCCCAGAAATGTCCAGGAACTTGCAGGTGCCTTGGTGGAAGAGTGGGGTAACATCTCACAGCAAGAACTGGCAAATCTGGTGCAGTCCATGAGGAGGAGATGCACTGCAGTACTTAATGCAGCTGGTGGCCACACCAGATACTGACTGTTACTTTTGATTTTGACCCCCCCTTTATTCAGGGACACATTATTCAATTTCTGTTAGTTACCTATCTGTGGAACTTGTTCAGTTCATTTCTCAGTTGTTGAATCTTGTTATTTCATACAAATATTTACACATGTTAAGTTTGCTGAAAATAAACGCAGTTGACAGTGAGAGGACGTTTCTTTTTTTGCTGAGTTTACATATCAGTTCACTGAGTTTTGTTAACCACACCTGTACCTCTTCATCCTACAATAACAGTGTCCCAACCTTTCCACAGAGACAGTTCCAGGTATAGGCTTTAGGGAGATCTCACCATCTTCAATGCTAAGTGAGTTTGTGTGTGTGTGTGTGTATCCACACACTCTGTGGCGTGGAAGTGTAGAAGAAAATAAGAAAAGTCACAGTGGGGAAGTCACACAATCTCCCCCCACCCAAACACACACACGAATGTACTCACACAAGAAGGAGATAGGAGCCGCATTGAGCAGATGTTGGAGCTTTCAGGAGTTAAACTGATTGAGATGCAGTGTCACCTTGTTAATGATCATCCAAGACAAAACTGGGAGGGGAGAGCAGGGGTATGATCACACCTTCATAATAGGGCCGGGTGGATGGGTAGGTGGGGTGTCTGCAGTGCACATTCTCACCGTGAAAATGTGAAGAGAGCAGGGATGTTCAATTGGGAGGTGTGTGTGTGTCAGTGTCAACTGCGCAGGTGAGTTTATTTCATGTATCTCAGCTACATCAGGGGGATTGCTATGAGAGGGGCTGAGATAGTGTAAATTACAAAAGATACCCACCCAAGCTCAACCACAACACACACATCTCTCTCTACCAGACACAGACCTATGACGGCAGATGAACATTAATAACATTTATGGAAATGTAAGGTGAGCATCAGAACACCTGCAAAGTAGTAGAGAGGAAGAAATCAAGTCGACATGATTATCACTGCTGACAAATGCTTTGACAAAAGGTAAGCCGCACCGCCGGCACTTTATTATTAGTGATGTGATGCACAGACAACACACACTGAAGACCTCTTGTTCTAGATCCCCCTCTCCAAAATACCCTCTCTGCCACAATGGGGATGAAGACTGTATCCATCACCTTACAAACTACGAACAATAGAGTAGAATGAAGAATGCCTTCACTGTGCTACTGTTCTAGCTAACAAACTAATGTATAACATAGAATGGGTGTACAAGGTAAAAAAATCCCTACATGTTTCAGGACATTTTAGGTTGGAAATGCCTAGTGAGAACTAAGAGTTGTGCATTCTGAAGGGTTTCTATAAGGAGAAAAGAGGAGGGTAAAATATCAAAGCTCAGGGTTAACCTCAGCAGTCATATATCAAAGCTGACAGATAGTGTAGCTTTTTAATGATTGTTTCGTAATCTGCCCAAGAAAGAGAGGAGTGAGAGGGAGAGCAGAAAACTCCTCCTCTGTGATCTCTCTTCAATTTTCTCACCACAGCCAGATAAAGGTTAATACACTGCTCTTTTTCACTGTTGAAAAAAACGTCATCCATCTTTGAAGAGGGGTTAGAAAGAAATAATAAAATAATAACATCATTGAAAGTAATCTGGCTCAATTCCATAATTAATCTCCTCCAGTTTTTCTGACAATTCCGATGTTAATTAACCCAAAATTCCCTCCATGGCGGCTGAGAGAGACGAGCGTTCAGCCTGCCCCCCTTCAAGCCCCCCTATCTCTCCCCATCGCGGTACAGTCTTTTAGGGGGAGAGAGCGCTCTGAAAGGAGAGGATTCTCAGGGTGGAGGGCTGAAGGTGGAGATGAGGGAGGAAAGAGAGCATGGGGACATGGATGGGATGGGCCTTCAGCCCTCATTAGAGAGGGGAGGAAAATGAACACGGTGTGATGGGAAGTAAGAGAAAGAAAAAGAAAACTGGCTGGTGAATGAATCCAGCGGGGAGAAGCTCTGTTCCCAGACAGATTGGGCTGGCGCAGGCAGCAAGCCTGTATACTATAGCTGTGGTTCTGTTCTGTACCAGCTCTCTCTCTCTCTCTCTCCAGACAACTGCTGCAGGACTCAGGAGGACCCACGCATTGAAAATATATCAACCGGCACAACTCCGATATCAGCTGTCAGGCCTGGAGAAGGCTGGGGAGTCGCTGCGGCTCTCAGTGTTCTGCCGTTTGTTCTCCCAAATTTCTCACAGGCCAAGCTTGTTAATCTACACTACAGTATGCTGCGGCAGCAATTATTAGTTACAGAATAACAACACAGAGGGAGGAAGCCCGTAAAAAACTACAGAGGAACTTTTCAGTTAAGCACACATACCTCTGTGCTACAGCAGAGCCTGTTAACCTGACCTGCCTCCAGATAGCATGTGTTGGGAAATGTCATCCACCTGGTGGGAACCAGGGGGGAGTCTGTCTCGGCATCTTTGGGCTGCTTCTAAGGTCTGGCTAACTTTGCGGAGACCTATTTATAAAAAAAATTATAATGATATGCATACTGTAGGTGAGGTAATATGCTGCCCTCATGTGATCGTCCCTGCCTCCTAACTCTCCACTGTGTCCTCTGTCCAGGTGTGGAGGTCAGTGGGCTGGGGTGGACACACAAGGTTAGTAGTGGGTGGCCAATCAGACCATACAAAGGAAATGCTCTACAGTGCCATGGCTGGTAGAGCATAGAAAAAACATTTCATCCTCATAATGTCCTAGAGAGTGCACATATGGTGAAGAGAGAGGGAGAAAGAGACAGAGACAGCAAGAGAGAGATGGAACACAATGAGGCCTATTGCCTGGGAGAAGTTCCAGTGATGAGGAGGAGGGGAGGAGGGAAAAGGAAGAGCAAGAAAAGGAAATGTTTGTTGCCCTTTTACTGTACACCAAGGCCTGCAGTCACAGCCCTGGTCGTATAGTGAAGAGTTAACGGAGCAATCAGAACTGCAGCCGCGGCCTCAGCTACGCAGTCAAGTGTTAAACAATGGAACAGCTGTCGAGTGCGGCAGCTCCAGAAATAGAGCTGTTCATTTCACCTGTCTGTCTCACACCTGTGTGCTGTGCAGGCCGGGGAGAGAGAGGGCGAGGGCTAGGCCAAACAGAAGGCTGTGGAGCCAGAGGAAACCGAAAGGAGAGACGGGAACAAAGATAACAAACACACACTCGTATACACACACAAACAGGATGTGATGAGGCTGACTCACCAATCATGTGATTGGCGACGTGGATCTGGATCTCCCGCTCTGTCTCGAAGGTCATTTGGCATTTGATGCACTGGTACGTCTTCTTCTGCAATGCAACAGACAGGTAGGCAAGAATTTTAGAGAGGGTATCAAACTGCTCATTCACACACACCTGATACAATTTGGAGGTTTCTCCTTGCTGAGCTGAAATAAAAGCGTAGGTAAAGATTGAGTGTCCCTGGGACCTCACTGTCAATATCTAGTAGAGCGAACAGGCCGCACAATGCCTCAGCAGGGCTGAGCTGCAGGGCCCGCCAGGGCCGAATGAAATGCAGCCATGAATTCACACATCTAACTGAGCACAACTTCTTATTGACACGCTAGCCACTGGGAACTGACACACTGCTAGAAAATACTGTTAAAATGCTTATAGAATTGTATGAGGGACATCTTTTAAAAGCTAGGCTATTTTTGTACCCATGATAAGTATAAGTGGGATCAACATGGCGTCAAATGAAATAATAATTGTAAAAAATATGAACATTTTTAGATTTCAGATCACGCAAAAAGCATTAGGAATGATTGAATGATATGCATTCAAGTTCTAATTAATTAATTTGATTTTTCTAAATGCAGGGCCATTTAACTTTTTGTTGGGTTGGTAATGTCTTCCATTTCTTTTATACCACAGAGGACAATGTTGGTTATTCACCATATGATTGATTCATAAATTAATAAACTAAACCTTATTTACCCAAACCTTAGCATTTTCATATATTGTATGTAGATTTCAATATAAATCAATGTGCTGATCAAGCGATAGAGGAGAACATTATGAGTGTGTTCTTACTTTAGGGACAGGCGAGGCATCCGTCACCTTCTTGGCCCCGCTGGTCTCCGGGCTCATCTCGGGGTGGTCCACCTGAACGTGGCTCTCCAGGTCCTCTAGGGTCTCAAACTTCACAGCACACTCGGGGCATCGCAGCCCCACCGCAGCCTTCTCTCCCACGGCCTCCTGGGGCATGGTGCCCCCACTGGGAGACTGGCCGTTGGTGCCCCGGCTCAAACAGCCAGCACACAGCCCATATGGCAGCCCGTTCACATCCAGCTTCACCAGATCCTGCTTGTTCTTGAACTCCTTGAGGCACAGGGCACACTTGTAGTGCTTGTGTTGCTGCAGCTGACCGTTGGGAGAGGAAGAGGCTGAGCCGCCCCCGCCCCCACTGCCCCCGCCGGCTGAGAGCTTCTGCATATGGAAGGTGCCGTGGATCTTGAGCTCCAGGGTGGAGGTGACCGTCTGCATGCACACCACACAGCGGAAGCCCGTCAGAGAGTTCCTCAGGTCTGGGTGCATCTGGCAGTGCTCTATGAACTCCTCCTCGCTCTGCAGGGGCATCTTACAGATGCGGCACGTGCCCGTGTCCAGGCTCTTGCTGTGGGTGACCTTGTGTTCGGTGAGCGTGAGCAGGGAGGGGAAGCGCTCTCCACAGATAGGGCACATGTAGTGCTTGGCGGGGCCACGGTGGGTCTGAGCGTGCTCCCTCAGGCCGTTCTCAGAGAAGAAGGTCCGTGAGCACACGTTGCACTTGTGGTTTCCCTTGATAAAGTCGGCCTTCTTCTTGCGGGAGCTAGCGTCGTCGTCCCCGGGCTGGATGTTGTGGTCCCTCAGTCGGTGGTTCTGCAGAAGACTCTCCATAGTGTAGGCCGCTCCACAGATGTCACAGGCGTACATGGGCTCAGAGTTGTCCAGCTCCTCCTCCCCTCCGCTGGCCTCGTGGCTGTTGGCTACATCCTGACTCGTGTTCTTTAGCAGCATGTTCTGCAGGTCAGCCTGCTCCGTGGCCACTGTCGATCTTTCGCTTCCTCCCCCGCGCTTGGAGCTCTGGGTTACACCGTTGGGCGTGCCGTTCTGGCTTCCCCCGTTCCCGGTGCCGTTCCCCCCGTCAAAGACACAGTGCTTCTCTCTCAGGTGCCTTTCCAGCAGAACGATGGCGTGGAAGGCCTTGCCACAGAAGCGGCAGTTGAATTTCTTACTGTGGGTGGTGATGTGGCACTGCAGCTCCACCTCTGTGCCGAACGTCTCCCCACAGAAGATGCACTTACGGGCCTTGCCGGTAACACCGGGGCCGGTGGGGTGTCCCAGGTGGCTGTGTTTGACGTGCAGCTGAAGGTCACTCTCCTTCCGGAAGTCCCAGGTGCAGGCTGTGCAGCGGAACATCTTCTTCTCGTTGCTGTGTTTGACAGCCAGGTGGACCTGGATGGACACCTTGGAGTCAAACACCTCCTGGCACAGTGTACAGTGGTACAGCACAAAGGTGTGCATGTCCAGCAGGTGCTTCTGCAGATCGTCCACTGAGGAGAACTGCTTATCACAGCTCTCACAGACATACTGGGTGGATGTGGTGGTGTAGTGGACCGTCAGATGCTGCAGCAGAGATTCCTGGGAGTCGAAGTCCTCTTTGTTGCACTGAGGGCAGGACTGCCTCCTCAGCAGCATCTCCAGGTGGGACTTGAGATGGGCTTGAAAGCCCTCGAAGCTGCTGAAGCGCAGGTCACACTGGTTGCAGGGGTAGTCTCCATTGGACCCTGCCGTGGTGGAGTCCCCAGCCAGCCTATGGCGTTTGGGGGAGGAGATCTCCACATCAGAGGAGGCGGGGCTGAGGTCCGCCACCTTAGCTTGCCGCTTGTTATTGGCCAGTGGGATGTTCTTGTGGTTCTCCTTGATGTGCTTGGTGAGCTTGAGCAGGGAGCCGAAGATGGGCGAGTTGGTGCAGTAAGGGCAGGAGTAGACCTCCATAAAGGACTGGGAGGGCTGCAGGACGGGAGACTCCATCTTGGGCACGCCTCCTCCACTGCAGTGGGTCTGCTGGATGTGCTCTGTGAGAGAGGACTCTGTGAGGAAGCCCATGGAGCACTGGTTGCAGAAGAAGGCGTGGTTGCCCTCCAGGGTGGTGGAGCCTGCGACCATTCCTCCAGGCAGGCAGTGGGACACACGGATGTGCTCCTGCAGGGTGTTGATGTCTGCAAACATGTCTGGGCAGTAGTTGCAGTGAAAGGCTGACACGTTGGTGAACTGGAGCAGGGGGAAGGCCGCTGTGGCGCCTCCGCTGCCTCGGTGGGCTTTGCGGATGTGTTCGTTGAGGTTGTAGAGCGTGGGCAGGGTGTCCAGGCACAGCTGGCAGGTGTGGTTCTGCTGGGGCTTGTCTGCATGGATGGTCTTCAGATGGATCTCCAGAACGGCCAGGCTGTTGAAGTCTCTCTTGGAGCAGTAAGGGCAACTGTAGGTCACCTTGGCCGTCCAGTGACCCCCGTCATCATGGTCAGAGTTGGGGGCCAGCTTGCGCCGGCTTTGGATGGGCTTCAGGGTGGAGTCTGGGGTGGAGCCCCTCTCCAGAGAGGCGCTGGAGTCCGGGGTGGCGCTGCTCATGGATGCCACGCTGCCCAGCACGGGGTCAGGGCTGGGACTGTGATTACTGGAGTCGGGCTGCCGATGGCTGTCCATGTGGCAGTAGACGTCCTCCACAGAGGGGAACTGCTCTGAGCACACCGGGCACTTGTGTTTACGGTTAGCATGGGACCTCTCAATGTGGGAGAGCAGCGTGCTCTCGTCGCTGAAGATCTCGGGGCAGTGGATGCACTGCAGGTCGGAGCGGTCAGACAGCTGGGGGTGGCGGGTCACTACGTGCTTCTCCAGCTCGTCTGTCTGGCTGAAGGTCTCCTCACAGTAGTCACACATGTACAGGTCCTGGTCCATCTCCCCTCCACTGCCTGCATTGCTGCCACGCTTCCCCCCTTCCTTTTCAGTACGCAGGGCCAGGTGCTCCTTGTTCTTCCTGTGGGCCTGCATGTGGCTCTGCAGAGACGATGTGGAGGAGAAGCCTCTCTTGCACACGCTGCACTTAAAGGGCTTGCTGGAGCTGTGGGTCTTCAGGTGGATCTTGAGATGGTCGCTACGGGAGAAAGCCGCCTCACACTCCTGGCAGCTGTACTTCTTGTCTCCGGTGTGGAGCTTGACGTGGCGATCGCGGCTTCGCTTGTGCTTGAACAGGCGGCTGCAGAAGGTGCACTTAAAGGGCAGCTTGTCGCTGTGGATTTGCTCGTGGCGCTTCAGGTAGCTGAGGCGGCTGAAGGACTTGTCGCAGAACTGGCAGGGGTAGGGCAGCCCCGCGCCCCCTTCCTCCTCCCCTGTGCCCATGCCCAGATCGCAGCAGCCGTCCCCCAGCATCTGTGACGGCGACGCCACGTCTTTGCTGGAGGGAGAGGACCCTACCCAGGAGAGCCCAGGGTCATCATCACCATCTGCAATGCAAAACACAGAATTAAGAGAGAGGAGATTAAAACAAATCTAAACAGAATAGAATTAAAGACATTCCCACAGGATATAAGAAATAAGGACTAAGTGTATTTTCTCTCTCTTCATCCTCCCTAAGCAAACATCCCCCACCCCCCTCTAGAATTACATCTGCCTCATCATATTTTCATTATGGGGACCAGATTGAAATTCCCGAAAACAGATTAGAAGACGCTCAAATAGTGAGGGTATTCTTATATGACAAAGTGAATTAAATAAAACACGGGATTCTGCATGCTTTTCTCCAGTTTAGTGCTGACAAAAGGGAAAGTCTATAAATGCATACATAATATAAATACACAAAGAAGAGCATATATTAATTCTGTCCTGCTTTGTGCAGTCTGAGGGGGCCTGACACAGCCCTCACGTCATCTATTTAGCATCTAAACTAGAGCCCTCTGAAGGAGAGGAGAAACACTCATGACTTATTGAGCAGGAATGCTGCAAGCCTGGAGTCCCACTGTGGCTCAGACAAACCCAGAATTCTCCAGCTCAGCCTGTTTGTTTGCTTTATTTGACTGAATTTCACACTGCTCTAAATGCGTGAGGAGAGAAGCCTCTGGTACATCATCACACATAACCAAATGTTTACAATAAGTAAACAGCCTCCCACCTTTCCCCTCTCCACACATACATCTTATAAAACCCTCTTTTTACATGAAACTAGTCTGTAGCTGGAGGGCAGGTGACTCAATCTGCATCTCATTTGTATTTTGGCTGACAGAATCACACTCAAACAGGTAACTGTTTTAAAGCATAATTAAGGCAAAATGTCGGTGCAAAACATATTTAAAGTATTAACATTCTTTATCTAAGAGAGAGAAGAACCTATAAGTCACTTGCTATAGACTTATCTCCGTAAGCAACTATGAATATGTATCCCCTCTGACCACCCGCTCCTACAGTATGTGTTATACAAAGGTATGCACTGCAGATTTGGTGGAAAATAAATTAATGTGATGAATCGATCCACTCGAAAATGTAGGTGCTGTGCAGAGCAAATAAAACTCTGCAGGGGTTTGTGGGTATTTTTTTTTGTAAAAACATGAATTATGAACTTAGCTTGGAGCAAGGACAGAAACCTCTGCTATAAAATAGAGATATTACATGGAACATAAAGGCAATAGGAGTGAGATGCCATCCAGCAGCAAAAATCTGGAGAGAGGAATATTACAGGATGAGGGCAAATTAAGAAATAAGCATGAACAAGACCAAGAAAATGGACACAGCTAGGAAAGCAAAGATGTTGGGAAATATCTTTGAGAGAATTTGGACAGAGACAGGGGAAGCAGGAGAAACTAATGATTACAGCCTATTTCTATGCTACAGATCAAACCAGTAGCAACGCTGTTTTGTTGAGTACATACAGTACCAGTGAAAAGTTTGGACACCCCTACTCATTCAAGGGTTTTTCTATATTTTTACTATTTTCTACATTGTAGAATAATAGTGAAGACATAAAAACTATGAAATAACACATATGGAATCATGTAGTAACCAAAAAAGTGTTAAACAAATCAAAATATATTTTAGATTTTTCAAAGTAGCCACCCTTTGCCTTGATGACAGCTTTGTACACTCTTGGCATTCTCTCAACCAGCTTCATGAGGAATGCTTTTCCAACAGTCTTGAAGGAGTTCCCACATATGCTGAGCACTTGTTGGCTGCTTTTCCTTCACTCTGTTATCCAACTCATCCCAAACCATCTCAATTGGGTTGAGGTCAGGTGATTGTGGAGGCCAGGTCATCTGATGCAGCACTCCATCACTCTCCTTCTTGGTCAAATATCCCTTACACAGCCTGGAGGTGTGTTTTGGGTCATTGTCCTATTGAAAAACAAATGATAGTCCCACTAAGCGCAAACCAGATGGGATGGCGTATCGCTGCCGAATGCTGTGGTAGCCATGCTGGTTAAGTGTGCCTTGAATTCTAAATAAATCACTGACAGTGTCACCAGCAAAGCACCCCCACACCATCACACCTCCTCCTCCATGCTTCATGGTGGGAACCACACATGCGGAGATAATCCGTTCACCTACTCTGCGTCTCACAAAGACACGGCGGTTGGAACCAAAAATCTCAAATTTGGACTCATCAGACCAAAGGACAGACTTCCACCGGTCTAATGTCCATTGCTCATGTTTCTGGGCCCAAGCAAGTCTCATCTTATTATTACTGGTGTCCTTTAGTAGTGGTTTATTTGCAGCAATTCGAGCATGAAGGCCTGAATCACGCAGTCTCCTCTGAACAGTTGATGTTGCGATGTGTCTGTTACTTGCATTTATTTGGGCTGCAATCTAATGAATTTATCCTCTGCAGCAGAGGTAACTCTGGGTCTTCCTTTCCTGTGGTGGTCCTCATGAGAGCCAGTTTCATCATAGCGCTTGATGTTTTTTGCCGGATTGACTGACCTTCATGTCTTAAAGTAATGATGGACTGTCGTTTCTCTTTGCTTATTTAAGCTGTTCTTGCCATAATATGGACTTGGTCTTTTACCAAATAGGGCTATCTTCTGTATACCACACCTACCTTGTCACAACACAACTGATTGGCTCAAACGCATTAAGAAGGAAAGAAATTCCACACATTAACTTTTAACAAGGCACACCTGTTAATTGAAATGCAGTCCAGGTGACTTCCTCATGAAGCTGGTTGAGAGAATGCCAAGAGGGTGCAAAGCTGTCCTCAAGGCAAAGGGTGGCTACTTTGAAGAATCTCAAATCTCAAATATATTTTGATTTGTTTAACACTTTTTTTGGTTACTACATGATTCCATATGTGTTATTTCATAGTTTTTATGTTTTCACTATTATTCTACAATGTAGAAAATAGTAAACAATTAAGAAAAACCCTTGAATGAGTAGGTGTGTCCAAACTTTTGACTGGTACTTAAAATCTTAACATGAATGCTATTTTGATCCCAAAACGTAGTACCACCTGCATTATGTGTGTGTGTGCATCTGTGCTCGTGCGTGAGTGTGTGATGTATTTATGTGTGTGTGTGTAAGTATGTATGTAAGCGTGATGGAGGGCGGAACAACTCTGTTTCTCAGATTTCAGTTAAGGCCTGTACCCCACTGTCTCCACAGCTGGGGTGTCTGGACATCCCCTCCCTATTGTAGCCATTCCCCCCAGTCCTCCTCTCATGCCTTTGTGTCCGTGTCAGGATAAGAGTCATCCTGACACAAGTTAAACCCCGGCAACACAGGAGAGAGAGAGGGCCTCGGCGGCCCCAATGAAGAGAGTGGATGAAAAGCCCAAAGGGCCTTAACTGGGGTGAATTCTTTGGCTGCACAATGAAAGCGTGGCCCCTGACAGGCTGGTCTCTGATGTGAGCCGAGCGGAGGTGAGAGAGCAGAGGGGAGAGCTGCTCACGACTGACAGGTACGCCGTCCTGCTGAGCCCCAGCCATGTACTGCACCACAGCACACCACATACAAAGAAACACTTGCTTGAGCATGAAGAAGAAGAAAGAAAAAAATTGAAATAATAAGTAGAGGAGTGGGAGGGAGAAAGAATGGTAGGGAAGAAGACGGGGAAAAAACTCCTGGCACATGTGGTCATTCTGGCGAATTCTAAATCTATTAATGCTAATGCAATCCCTCTGACTGCAACAGAATGTGAGAAATCACTTTTGAGAAAGGAGATTATAGTCATTAAATAGCCTTAATCCTCAGAAGTGTGGCTGTCGGAAAATGGAAGATCACATGGCTTTTAGAGGGCTTTTGTCATCCGTCCGCCGGGGGACTTGGCAAGAGCACTAAACAGGGTAAGAAATTTCAATGAAAAGTTAAATTAGAAAAGAAACAGAAAATAAAGAGGGGGAAGCCGAGAGAAAATCGAGAAAAGACTGGAATGGGCACGCAAACACACGCTGGTCCCATGTCTCCTCGCTCCAGCGTTCCCAAGCACAGCCCTGATGGCTTCTCTGCCTTTATCTTGCTCTCCCCGTCCGTTCCTCCCTCCGTCCGCCCATGTCTTTCATGTTGTTACTCATTACTGAATTAACAGGCTGCAGTCATGGCTGCCCCTGGCGCGGGCCTTCACCTCTGCTGCCATGGCCCAGGTGGAGGGGTGGGGCCAGGCAGGGAGGAGGGGAGGGCCTGGCAGATGGAGACACTGAAGTCCAGAGGAAGAGCGGCCATCCCGCCTCCAACCAGGGCCCAGTAATTGGAACTGGCCAAACAAAACACATGGCCATAGAAGAAGGTCCCAACTGAGCTCTACCTGAGCACGAGCAGAGTGGTGGTGGATAGACAGAGCAGGGATGGCTACTTTGGTCTGAGTTTCAAGAGGCCGCCCCATCCCCCACCTCTACCACCATGCTCCATCCAGGCTGGGTCGGCCTGATGACGCCTGTCCCCTCTCTAATAGGCTGGCCAGCCAGCCGGCATGCCGAGGCCGGAGTGTGGAGGAAATGCAGTAATGAAGACGCGCCCAGCCTGGCGTCCCCCGCTCTAGCCCGCTCTTCCCCTCATCAAACACGAGGACAGAGGTCCGTCTCCCCGTGTCCCCCATCCCAAAACCCTGCCACCCCTGAGAAGCTGCTGTGGTGGCGGCTTCTCTGAAGTGCTATAGAAACACGGCCCCAGAAAGCAGAAAGCCAGGCTGTTCATTAGAGCAGGGCGGCCTCCCTTCGTTTCCACATGATGTCCACAACACTGACTGGCAGACAGACTGACTAACGCCTTCCTTCATGTCCAGACAATGTGATCATTAATAATCTGTTCTAGCAACTGTACTGCCACTAAACCTGCTCCATATGCATTTGGAGATAATCTGCAGTGTCAACGTGCTCCTCCTGGGGAGGAAAACAAGAGCAAACAGCCAGTTTGACTGGGCTGACATCTCTCTGCTAAGACTTGATTAGAAGCAGGGGGTCTGTTTCTAGCAGTTTCTAGAATAAATATAAATAAATAAAATAAATTGGTCATTTAGCAGACGCTCTTATCCAGAGCGACTTACAGGAGCAATTAGGGTTAAGTGCCTTGCTCAAGGGCACATCGACAGATTTTTCACCTAGTCGGCTCGGGGATTAGAACCAGCGACCTTTCGGTTACTGGCACAACGCTCTTAACCACTAAGCTACAGTCCTTAGGCGGTGGAGGAGGTCCTGCAGTCTGTAGTAACTCAGGCCTTGGAGAACCATGGTGTTTCTGTTATTTATGCTGTACACATCATTTCAATACCACAAAACATGGTTTGGAACAGGACAAAAACAAAGTGGGTGACCATTGAATCAATATTTATGGGTAATCAATAGTCGTAATGAAGAGTAACAGCAAGGCCCATAGCTGCTGCAACCCTCCAGTGGGTCAGAAACTAGACAACAGGAGTCATGTAACAAGACTGGCCCTACTGAGGAAGCAGTGGGTAATGTAGAGGGTCTCTAATAAGACTACTGTACAGTATGTGTGTGTTTATCATGTGCTCACCTCGTCACATTCCCCTGCCCTCCACTCACACCCCTCCTCCCTAATTAACATTTCCACCTTTCAGTCTGGCTCCCTGCCCAAACTTCCACCTTTCCCACCAAGCCCCCTGCCTGGCTCCCAACCCCATCCCCTTGGCCCCCTTCCCATGACCCCAGGCAGCAAGACGCACCGTAGGGGGCAGAAAAACAACTTCCACCCAGGTCTCTGACAGGGCAGCGCAGCATGCAGGCCAGACAAGCCTGGAGCAACGGACAAACCGACAGGGGGAATGGAACTTTCAAGAGGAGAACCTCTCCCCATTTTCCAGCTCCCTCCGTCCTTTCTTCACACCTCTTCTCCTCTTCCTCCCTCCCACTATCAATCCATCGTTTCCTTTGACTAATTATCCCGCAAACTTTTCCGGGGTAAAACTCTCAACCTAAATCCTGTGTTATACTCATGATATAACTCATTCCTCAGTCACATACTGTATTGCAACACACACTGTGATTTCTGAGGGGGTCTGGAGCCATGTGGGGTTGTTGTTGACCATCAAGATGGGTGCTGTGTTAACACCTGTTTAATCTCCCTCTCTCTCAAATGCACACACATTTATCTCCCTAAGCCTAGTCTGTCTCTAGAGGTCTCCAGTCCACTGCTGTCCCTCGGACCCATGGGAGGCAGTCTGTCAGGGACCTGAGTACTGGAGGACACACTCACACGCTGCCCACAGCCCATATGGAGCAGTTGGCGCCCAAAAGTGCCCAAGCAGCCGGCCACATTCCCAGGGCAGAAGGTGAGGGGCAGGGGGCGTCGGGGTGAGGGGGGCATGGGGCGGCAACAGCTGACAGGCCTCTTCTCTCTTCACCGCCCAAGAGACATCCAGGTGACAGGAGGGGAACTGGGACAAACATGGGTGACGTTGACCATTATATGAGTCACTCAGTCCTATGGAGACAACCTTGAACCACTAAGGACCTCCTCCATCATATGTAGGGGGATATGTACACAACTAAAGGCAACTAGAACGTAACGTCCAATACTGATCCAATAAAATTCATAGTATTGTGAATGTGTGTAGGAGATTTGAAAATGACAAGAGAGAGAGAGAGAGAGAGAGAGAGAGAGAGAGAGAGAGAGAGAGAGAGAACGAGCATGCTACTCGCTAGGAGCGACCGAGTACTCATCGCTCTCGAGCTGCGCTCTCTCTCTCGCTCTCTTTCACCCGCTCTGTCTGCGTCTAGAGGTTGGGACCGTTGATTGGTTAAGATGAGTTTGACTCAAGTCTTGGTCAGTCTGTGAGAGCTGCAGGAGCCAGCACTGTTAAACAGCTGCACATTAATTACATGTGAAGTGTACCAAAACAAGCCTTGCTACAGAGGCCATGTGGAGGAAGACGGCAGACATCTGGTTCCTCTTTCTCCCTCTCTCCCCCTACTCTATCCTGCACTCTCTACCTCTCTACTCTTCTCCTCTCCTCTACTTCTTTCTCTCTCTCTCTGTCTCCCTCTCTTCTTTCTCTCCCTCTCCGACCTTGCCTCTGTCTTGTTCTACCTCGCTCTCTGCCTCACAGTCCCTCTCCCTTGCCTGTGTCACAGCGGTATAGAGTTGTGTGAGTAACAGTATAGGCATGTTCCCTCGGTCAATGGGAAACTGTTGTGTGAACCATGAAGGAAATCAACACCACAAACCTTCAACAGACCCTGCTCTGCTCAACCCCCATGGTTTCACCTGCCACCATAGCTGCACCACCACATCATCTGTTACAGTCAACCCTTGGTCAGTGTCCGTCTATGGTGCTCTTATTCTCTGTGATCTGAGTGCCGTCTCTTTCCCTGGGCTTTAGGCAGATCCCAATGAAGCGTTTTCTCCATCCTTCAGCCCTCAACCTCTCCCCTATGATCAAACACATCCATTCTCTTAACAGCTCACCAGGTCTTCTCATTGCACTTACTCCTCTTCCCTCTCACCTAACTATACTCCAGAGCTTTTCAATAGGTTGTGACTCAGGTCTTCAGATACTGTTCTGTTCTGTAGGGTTATGAGTCAGACACAGTGTGTTGGTCTCTGTGCTGTGACTAAGGTGTATGCTGAGGATTTTCTAGGTTAGAACACTGTTCTCTCAGCATCATTCAACGGAGCTCAATCAACTAAACCTCATTATTAAAAATAGCCGGCATCGCCGGCGGCAGGTTCAGAATAGGAGGAGTTTAGTGGAGGGGTTAATGTGTGTACTCAGAAGGAGGGGCCTTGGGATAGAGGATTTCCCAGGAGACATTACTTCTGTAATGTAATGCCTACTATCTATCTGTGGTATGACAGCCATGTCCACTCAGTAATCTAACAAGAGACATATGGTCCCTTAGTAAACACTAATGTAGAATGCTACAAACATCCCTTTACATACTGTCCAGGCCTGGCTAAGAACACCAAAACTAAATCTGCTTCAGAAAATCAGCTACCCCAACAACTAGAGACATTGCCACCTAGAGTCTGTCCGGGAGAATACAAGTCAGTGGATAGAGCCAAAAGGCTTCCACAGTATAGTGCCCAAAACATGCATCCATATATCCACTGAATGAGATGGGGGAAAGACATTACACCGTTACATTTTGTGTCTGTCAAATAACAAATAGACAGACAAAATGTCCTCATGTTGTGAGTGACTACAACCAGACTAACCTACACTCTCTGTACCTCTACCAGTGGAGCTGAGCTAGTTGTCATTCTGCCAGTTTTCCTGTTCCTCTGAGGTTACCCCATGTTTGTAACCCCCACCCTGGTGTTGTAGGGCCTGTAAATAAGTCATGCTGGCAGCTGGAGCTGAGCAGAAGCAGTAGGCTGAGCTCTGTGGTTTCAGATGGGGAGACGGAGGCAGGGAGGCAGGCAGGCAGCAGCAGCCTGGGCTGAGAGATGGGGGTTAGGACTGGGGCTCCGGGGAGGCGCGGGGCCCAGGGGTCCCTAGCACAGGCAGAGAGAGGCGGGTACCTCCTGCCCACTGTGACACCCTGGGAGCCCCCCGGCCTCCCTGGGGAGGAGCGGCACT